GTATTATCACATCTAGAGATCTCTTCTGTGCCTCTAGCAGAAGAAAGCCTCACAGGCAACACTATATCATTGAAAGCAGCACTGAAAACTACCCATTTGGCATCCAATGAATAGGTCCTTATTTTCCTGCCTTTCTTATACTACAGGCTGTGAAACAGTCAGATCATCTGAACTTCAGAGCAGCTTCTGCATGGAAAAAGACAGCCTAAAGCTGTAATACCTGCCTGCCCCTAAAAGTAGTCACAGTAGTCCATTATATATAGTACCTCCCACCATTGGGAGGAAGACCAGTGCTGTCCCCCTACTCTTTTCAGAAGAGAACAATCAACAGAGAGTCAGCTGGAGAGCGAAAGAACTTCCAAGTTTAATGCTCAGCTCTTGCTGAGCCCCAGCTGACCTCCATTGCTGCTCTGTGTTCAGAGGAGAGCTGGGGAGATAGAACCTTTCAATGACAAACCAAATGGGAACCACTCACGCTAACCAACCCTGGTCCTATGCTTTTAGTAGAAGGGCATTTATCTCTGTCTTTTGTTTTACAAGGGCAATGGATTCATTTATTTTTAATAAAGAGAACATAGCTTATAGCCACATCCCTATTGCACAGTGAAGTGCAGTCCCTTCTGATATTAAGCAGCCTTGCAATGGCTTTGCCTTATACCCAGCCTGGAGAAGTGCCATCCATCAGGTTCACTGAACTAAACTCAGTAAAACAAGTAAAAACTGTAGACCTTTAAACCACCAGTCAGATGAAAAGTTTGGTCATCTTGTGTGGATGTCTACAAAGTTCATGTATATATGCAAATCAATCTATCACAGGAACAGATGTCAGAATTAACAGTGGAAATACAACTGGTCACACAACTATAGCAGGTCTTTGTTTCTCTTTTCCTAAGTGCTGACTACAAGAAAAACTATTAAATTTCAACCATCCCTGTATCTTGATTTGGTAATAGCACTTTCCTGCATTGTGCAAATTTAAAAAATGGAGTAATAACTCAATTATGTCTGATTATGAGACTAATATGATTCATTTTCTGACTAACAAGGATACTAGAGGGAATTCTCTTGGTCCAGAGAAATCAGCGTCTAATGATACGAAGTCAGGTATTGGCAGAAGCACCATAAAGATGCTTCACATAAAAGCCCATAGTCTAGCCAGCTTTAGAAATCCAAGCTGAAATCCAACTAAATCAAGTTGATAGCAACTCTTCCAGTACCACACAATAACACATTCACATTGTTATTGTACAAGGTTTTCATACATAGCTTGTTTCTGTCTACACTGCCAAGAATCTAATTGTAGTAAGTGACTACCATATTACTAGCATGAATAAGACCCTGTTTTTCTAGGACTGGATTTTTCAAAATAATGACTGCAAATCAGAGTCTAATGCTTACCACTTATTTTCAAATTGTCATTACATGCCTGCAATACACAAAGATTTCCAAGGGGTTTCATGTTGCAATAGATATGCCAAATGTTGAGAATCATTCCTCTTCAGCATATATTCATACAGAGGGTTCTTGGGAAACAGCTCAAATGGTCAGGAAAAAATGGATGGAAAGTGATAGAACATCTCAAACATAAGCCACTGAACTTTATATATAATAATTTTCATTGGTGCATTTTAGCTTATATTATTCTACACCTTAAGTGCCCATTTAAATTGCATTTTCAGCTTTCCATAGAACTGTGTGTAGAAACATTTGTGTATCCTCACATGGTTCTTCCCCCTTTTCCAAAAATTATCTTTTCCCCACATTAACACAAAGAACTCGCTTTCTCTTAATTGTTCAATAAAAGAGAGTACCTTGGGGCTTTATTAAGTAAGATTTCTGAGAGACTGAACCATGTGTGACCTAAATTTGCTATATACGTGCTTTCTGGAGGGCATAGAGCAGTATTCACAAACATAATCGTCTTTCACCTTGATGTTAATTATGTACTTTGCCATTCAAAATAAGTTATGGCCATGAGCTAAAGCATTAGTAAAGCAAACATGTCAGGAAAGCAACATACAGGAGAATTAATTAAAATAGTAAAATTCAGCGCTATTAAAAACACCTTTTCTAACACTCAATCTCTAGTGTGGCCTAAACAGAAAAAAAGCACTGGTCTCTAAAAGGAAGGCAGCAAATTTTCACCTCTCTAGGTTGCTTCATTTAAAAGTAAAAATATAATGCACAGGTCCTTCCTTTGGAATATGAAAATAAATGGGCTTTCCTGGCTAATAACAATTTGACGAGCTGGAAGTGCCTCAAGATCTCATAAAATACATTTTGCCTAGAAAAAAAGAATGTTTTACATAACCTATCATTTTTACATTTCGTTTTCTGTTTGGATTTTTTCCTTCCCTTTTTTAAATCTAGGATATTTATAAAAAACCGGAGTATTTATTTCTGAACTGTGCTCTACTCCACCACAGTATGATCCATTTTTGAAAGTGAGTTTTTCTGGTGGGGTTTGTTCCATGATTTTTAAGGGAGGACCATAAGAACCCAACAAAAATCACCAAGATCCAGAAAGCAGAGTTTCCAGCTGAAAGAGATGGCAACCAGAATTTATTGATTGCCAACAGCAGTTAATGATGAGTTTAGAAAAGCATGTTCCATACCTGGCCAACTTTAAAGCACTGGCTCAGCCGAGACAAAAGTACTAGATTTTGCAAACAGATTTTTGAGGCATTTAAGATCATAAAGAAGCTGCTTGAAAAAAATTTGGAGGTTTCTTGCTTTAAATTGTCATCGGCCAGACTGTTAACAGAATACAGTACAGTTGAGGATACAGAACAGAGATACTTCAGGATTTTCCTGTAATTTCAAACTTTGAAACCATCCTGCTCACCTCCTACTGGATAGCCCACCTCAGCCCCTCAGAAGTCCCACTGGGCCAGTGCTTCTGAATCCAGGCTGTGCTCTCTCCTGCATTGTCTCCCACATCAAACTCCAAAATTGAGTATGAAGAATTCAGTTTCTCATTTGACAGAGGTCTCCATTTTCACTCTCTTCTCCATCCACCATTTTGTTTGCTTGATACCTAAACGCTAAATCCTCAATGCTCCTCTATAAGCCCACAAAAAAAACCCAAATTAAAATATAAAAATAAAATCTGTAGCTTCAGAAAAATAGATGACAGATTTATAGAAGATGAATCTAATGAAAGGTTCAGTAGCTGGGACATAATTTTGGGGAAGTTTATTTTGTTTGTCTTTATGCTTTCCTTCTAAACCAGTGCTGATGAATTGTGTAAAATCAGACTGCTGACACAAATAATCCTTTCATCTGAGCTAGCAGGGCTCTTCTTATGCATTGTCTGTAGAATACCTCCATTCTCTGTTCACTCTTTTATGTTTCTATACAGAAGCTAAGACTAAGCTTCTTGCAAAACAATTTTGTTGATAACTGACATACTTCATAAACTAAGTAATATTTCATAAGCCTGTAACATCACCCATTTGAGTCATACTGGATATAAGTTACAAGTATAATAGATTAAATTAATACTAGAAATATCATTGTGAAGCCCTTTCTTTAAGATTACAATACTAAAGTTTAGATAAAGAATTTCTTACATCCTTCAGGATATTAACTACAGACCAAAAGGATGGATGAGGGCATGGACTAAGCACACAGTAGAATACAAAAAAATTAGGGAAAATTTTTAAGTGTCTTTTACTTGATTATTTTCACTGATCAAGTTTATTTTTTTTTTCTTTATGGGCTGCAGTTTAAGTCTTAACTCAATCCTCTAGAAAGTACTCGAGTACCCCTGTACTAGACACTGGTGAGACTGGGACTATGTACAACAAGGACATGGAGGTTCTTCAGTGTCCAAAACACAGCAACAAAGCTGGTGAAAGCTCTGGAGCACAAGTCTAATGATGAGCAGCTGAGGGAGCTGGGGTTGTTGGGCCTGGAGAAAAGGAGGCTCAGGGGTCACCCTATCACTCTCTACAACTGACTGAAAGGAGGCTGTAAGCCAGGTGGGGGTCAGCCGCTTCTCCCACATAACAACTGTTCAGACAGGAGGAAATGGTCTCAAGTTGTGCCATGTGAGGTTTAGACTGGATATTAGGAAAAATTTCTTCACTGAAAGGCTGGTCAGTTATTGAAATAGGCTGCCCAGGGAAGGGGTGGATTCACCATCCTTGGAAGTGTTAAAAAGGTGTGTGTATGTGGCACTTGGGGACGAGTTAGTGATCAACACAGTGGTGCTGAGCTAACAGCTGGATTCACTGATCATAGAGGTCTTTTCCAGTCTTAATGATCTTATGATTCTATGAAAGACATTCTCAGTTTTCAGCTCAAATGACCAACCTATATTTACTTATTGAGCATCATTAAAGGACTGTTAGAGTTTTTTAAGCATCTCCTACCAAAACAGTACGAGCTTGTTGTTTGAATAAAATGACATAAAAATATAAAATTGGGCAGAAGATTAAACTGCTGGTATATGGCTGTAGTGATAATGGCCAGTGCAGGACTGGATAACATCGTTAAGAGTACATGCAAGAAACAGTCCTGCAGAGGCCAGGGCAGGGGAGAAGGAAGAGAGGAGGGGCTCCAGACAATGCAGCAGGAGTTCCTCTGCAGACACTGGGGAACACCATGACTTGCTGGCACTTACTGGGCACCCTATTTTGTGTCACTGGCGAGCAGATGTACCTCTGCAGCCCTTGGACATCCATGGTAGAACTGAGTTGTGCTTTAACCCCAGCCAGAAACAAAGCAGAACACAGGGGCTCACTCTCCCCACCAGCTTGCTGGGGGAGAGAATTGGAGGAGTAAAGACAGGAAAACCTGTGTCTCAAGATAAAAGCCAATTTTTTAAGGAAATCAAAAGCCACACATGCAAGCAAAGCTGGCAGTGTCGTCACCATGCAGCCATTGTGACACCACTGGTGATGTTGGCTCCATAAAGCGCTTGCATCACAAAGGGCTCCAGCCTGGCACCCCTATAAAAGCAGGCCAGCCGCTCACAGCACTCAGCGAGCACCACCATGGCTGGTTACAATCGGCGGGCCAGAGGGCGCAGGAGCAGGAGCCGCAGCCGTAGGCACCTGCGGAGGACACGGCGCACTGGCCACAGCCGCTCTCGCCGTCGCCGCACACGGTCAAGGGGACGACGGGCATCACACGGTGCCCCAGTCATCAAGCGCCGGCCCCTCGTGAGACGCAGACGTCTCGAAGAAGAGGAGCCGGACAATGAGCTGGATGACCTGGGAGTGTTCGATGAGCCGATAGATGATCTGGAGTTTTAGAGCCAGAGCCCTTGCAAAGACCAGCCACCACACAGGCCTGGCTGCAACAATAAAGCCTAGCAAGCTCGCATGATGAGTGCGTGCGTCTCTGGTGCATTGCGCACAAACAGTAGATCGCTCGGTGTCCGCCCGTGTCCCAGATGTGTGGGTGGCCCACAGGTCAGTGTGTCCATGTCCATGCCCAACAGCAGGATGTGTGTCTCCAGGCTTGATTTTCCTGTGTGAGGATGGTGATGCATGGCATGTGTGAGTCCAGGGTTGATTTTGGGATGAGGTGTGATTGTGTCTGCAGCCCAGGGCCTGTGGCGAGTGCAGGTGACCAAGGACACATGGATAACCTCTGCTCCTGCCACTGGCCCCCTGGGCTCCCTTTCTGTCTCCCTCTTATTTCAGAGTCCCTAGGGGTTGAGCAGAGCCCACAGAGAGAAGAACCCTCAGTGCCTCATGCCCTCTCCTGTGGCACTGCTGGGGTTTTGAGGGTAAAGGCCAGACAAAGCAGAGCAAGTTGCTCTGCCCATCCAACTCCTGACTCTCACTCTGGCCATGCCCCCACTCCTGGCAAGGCTGTCACATTGCCCTTCACAGATCTCCCTGTAGAGAGACCCCCTGACCCTGCAACATGCTTCTCAGTGTTGCTGTGCTTCCCCCCACTTCTTCCTGGTTCTCTGTGCCTATACTGGGCTTGGGTTAGTGAAGGCTTCAGAGCAAGGAGAGAGTGTGGAGAGCATTTGGGACAAGATGCCACCAGTTTCCCCTGTCAGCCAGTGTACTGCCAGCCAGGTCCAAGGACTCACCACTGGCCAAGGCTGAGCCCACTCACAAAGGTGATAGTACCTCAGGGATAACATCGTTAAGAGTACATGCAAGAAACAGTCCTGCAGAGGCCAGGGCAGGGGAGAAGGAAGAGAGGAGGGGCTCCAGACAATGCAGCAGGAGTTCCTCTGCAGACACTGGGGAACACCATGACTTGCTGGCACTTACTGGGCACCCTATTTTGTGTCACTGGCGAGCAGATGTACCTCTGCAGCCCTTGGACATCCATGGTAGAACTGAGTTGTGCTTTAACCCCAGCCAGAAACAAAGCAGAACACAGGGGCTCACTCTCCCCACCAGCTTGCTGGGGGAGAGAATTGGAGGAGTAAAGACAGGAAAACCTGTGTCTCAAGATAAAAGCCAATTTTTTAAGGAAATCAAAAGCCACACATGCAAGCAAAGCTGGCAGTGTCGTCACCATGCAGCCATTGTGACACCACTGGTGATGTTGGCTCCATAAAGCGCTTGCATCACAAAGGGCTCCAGCCTGGCACCCCTATAAAAGCAGGCCAGCCGCTCACAGCACTCAGCGAGCACCACCATGGCTGGTTACAATCGGCGGGCCAGAGGGCGTGGGAGCGGGAGCCGGAGCAGGCAGCCCCTGCGGAAGACACGGCGTGCTGGCCACAGCCGCTCTCGCCGCCGCAGCACGCGGTCAAGGGGCCAACTGCCAACACAGGGCCCCCCATTCATCAAGCGCCGGCCCCCCAAGAGACGCAGACGTCACGAAGAAGAGGAGCCGGAGAATGAGATGGATGATGTGGGGGAGATCAATGAGCCCACAGACAATCTGGAGTTTTAGTCAGAACCCCTGCTAAGACCAGCCACCACACAGGCCTGGCTGCAACAATAAAGCATAGCAAGCTTGCATGATGAGTGTGTATGTCTCTGGTACATTGCGCATGAACAGTAGACCGCTCGGTGTCTGTCCATGTCTCAGGAGTTTGGGTGGCCCACAGGTCAGTGTGTCCATGTCCATGCCCACTAGCTCTGGGTGGCACAATATGTGGGAGGGTTTGGGATCAGAGTAACAGGCCATTGACACGTGCACACCTCTTCCTAGACATCCCTGACTTTTCTCTCAAGCCACAATTTTTCTCAGTTTTAGTCCTCTGATTCTCTCCCCCAGCAAGCTACTCTCAAACTCCCAGCAGTACTGTGGGACAGGGCACAAAGCCCCAAATATTATTCTCTGTGTGGGCTCTACTCAGCCCATTGGGACTTTGCTAAAAGAGGGACCGAAAAATGGACCCCAGGGGACCAGAGAAAACAGCAGGGACATCTGTGTGGGCTTGGTCACATGGACTGCCGAACTGGGAGAGATTACCTGTACTATTTATATTCATCTATTCATCCCTGAACACCTTCAGAACTTCTGGCTGATTACCATCCAGGCCCAGGTACTCTTATAAGAATATTTTATAAAATTTATGTATATTTTTGCAATAATCTGTATGTGTATTAGCAGCTATGTAATTCAGTATAAATGTTCTCTCCCCTTAAATCTCCTCAGATGTCATTCTAGCAGTGGTATTCCACTTAAATATACAGAAAGTAGTTTACTAATTAAACATTCTGTGGTTCTATAACTTATAAAAGTTTGCCTAGATTGAAAAAGCAATTGGAAGGATTAATGGAAGAAAATGTTGTCAGGGTTATGAAATATAAAGACTTCAAGCCCAGGAATACTTGGGAGTATCCTCTGAGGAAGTATCATTATAAGTTTGACCTGCTCAAACAGTGCTTCAGTATTCACTGTTGGCCACTGTTGGGCATTCTTTTGTAATTATGTAATAGTATGGGAAGCACAAAACCAGACAAAGAGAAAGAAAGTTCCATCTTTTGCCTGATAAAATGTCAGACACTCAGAAACACCCATAAGTGAGAGCCAATTCTCAGCATATAAAAGAAGCATTTATTTATTTATTTATTTATTTATTTATTTATTTTCTGTAGCAAAGAAAGGTGTCCTTATCAGACTGCTACATTAAATCAGCTCTGGTCTGACATGCACTTCAACAGATGCGAAGTTACCATGGTGCTGATGGATTGCATCCTCTGCATACAAGCAATGGCTTTCGTTTGAAGTTTGGTGAGCCCAAAAGACTCTCTGATGAGTCAGTGAGGTACAGAGACTGAATTTGGTATTTAGTGTTCTAGGGATCTTGAAGATGTGATGTAAAGTGCACATCTTGAAGATCTGATGTAAAATGCTGTATGATGTGCTGCATAAGCAGAAGCAAGGATGTCTGGAAGAACATGTGCAGTTCAAAATACCCTTGCAGGCTCAAGAAAATAAATAAATATGAAGGACGGGAGGAGTGAACAATCCAACACCAAAGAAAATTGCTATGAATAAAGAAAAAAGCTGTTTAGCATTTCAAAAGGTGTCTTTCTTCTTATGTATGTTCACAGTGTTCCAAATCCATCAACAAACTCAGAAATCCTCAAGCTAAATTAGCAACTGGCTTGTTCCAAAGGACATCACCCTGTTGGGTGGTAACATACAGAACTGGTATGTCAGTGTGGGCTAATCTGAAGGTACAGGGATGATCTGTCAATTCTAGAAAAGATAAATACAGCTTCTGCCCCAGTGTTTTACAATACCAGGCACTGGCCATTGGGTCTCCCCATTGTTGGGTCTCCCCAACATGATAGATTTTATGGTCAAGTGTGGTGACATCGCATGACCTAAATATCTTTCAGAGAATGGCTGGTTTGTTTTGAATGATGATGGATTATATTCCAGAATACCCCGTGAAAAATGATGTCTCATGCTTGCAAGTATTTCATGGGCATGGATAAATTCCAGCTAGCTCTGGGACCTGGTGAACATCCTTGTGGTTGTATTGCAAGTTTCTGTCCATATTTTTCCCATGCTTTATAACTCCCTCCTTTATTTCTCAATCATCCTACATAAATTGATAATCACATCCTCCTCAGTACATCCTTGAAGGGTTACATATAGAAATGTGAAGAAGACACTGAAGTCAGAAATACTGCTAAATGAAGGTACCAAGCAACATCTGAGTTCAGCTACAGATCATGAATTTTAGCCATAGCAGCAACTGTGACTGCAAACCAAACCCTTACTGTCTTGTGGCATGTCACTATAGAGCTCCACCAGTAATGCCTCTCCCTGTCGCGCACCAGTCAAATCTACACAGGAAGTACCACTGGTTATGTGATCTCACACCCCCTAGAGGAAAATCCTGTAAGCAGAAGTGTTGGGCAGAAAGAGCACAAGCAGGAAGTTCTGAATGTGATGGAGCCTACTCTGCACAGAACCAGACTGAATCCAGCAAATTTCTCTGGTTAGGCTTTTCTCTGGTTACACTAGATTTCTCTGTATATACACTAAAGCTAAATTTAGCTCTTAATGATTAACCTACCAAACTACTGGAAAAATTTACTACCACAGAGTATTGATACTGCCTCAAAGGAGAGGGTCCATGTCTGAATTATCTGGAATAACAGTTCTCAAGCTACACACACACACACACACACACACACACACACACATATATATATATATGTATATGTATATATATATATATATGTATGTATGTATGTATGCGTGTATGCATGTATATATGTATATATATGTGTATATATATATATGTATATATATATGTATAAATTTATACATATATGTATACATATATATAAAAATTTAACTGAGTTGTGGATTTTAATAAGGACTAATGAAGTAAGCTTTCTTGCACTATAGGGCAATGCACACCAGTAATTTCTGGTTTGAACAGATAGTGCTGCTGTTTTCCTTCTTTTCTGGTATTTTCCACTCTTTTCTTTAAAGAATTTCAGTGTTTTGCTTTCCTCTTTGTGTAAAGAATGTGCAGTTTCAATTGAAGGCTTTTCTCTCTCTGAATGCTCTGTGTCATGTTTTGAATATCAGACAGCATGTCGGCAGCAGGAGAGAGCAGGGAAGCACCCAAAAGCAATGCTTAATGGAGAAGACAAACACCACCAACAGCAAGAAAATAAACAAAATTCCAGAATATTCCTTCCACTCGCCATACTGTGACAGTCCATTTTTAGTGTAATAGCCAAATGGATTTTAAAAACATTTCAGTACTGAAGGAACACATTTCCACTAAAGTTACTGTACCACAAGCAATGACCTCTTTCCTGTTTGAAATGCTTTCAAGTACTGCAGTCCTTCAGAA